AAGCCATCAGTCCCTCCGACCCCACACATCACACACACACACACACACACACACACACACACACACGCACACACACACACACACACACACACACGCACACACACACACACACACACACACACACACACACACACACACACACACGACACACACACACACACACACACACACACACACACACACACACACACACACACACACACACACACGCACACACACAGACACACACACACACACACACACACACACACACACACACACACACACACACACACACACACACACACACACACACACACACACACACACAAGGACACACACACACACACACACACACACACACACACACACACACACACACAGAGGACACACACACACACACACACACACAGAGGACACACACACACACACACAGAGGACACACACACACACACACACACACACACACACACACAGAGGACACACACACACACAGGACACACACACACACACACACACACACACAGAGGACACACACACACACACACAGTTGTTGTGTTATTCTCGTCTGTGTTGTTGGTGTTGAGTCTGGGTTAAAGACACTTGTGATCTAAGTTTTCTGTGTGAGTTTTACAAATGTGTCGGTTTTGCAGCAACTTTTGGTTGTTTCTCATTTGAGTTCAGCTCTGACTCTTTCACATAAACACTTTTCTCACACTGGTCGAGTGCAAAGAGACGACAGAGTCCAGAGCTGCGCTCAGATGCACCTGAAGTGACCCAAATCCAATTTTTTGTCTCTATGTTCCTGTATCTGATCTTTTAATGTCAGTCTGAACCACACAGATCTGATTTATTCAAATGTGACCCAGGACACTTGGATATGTGCTCCTGAAACTGATCCATATCTGATCTTTTGACATGTGACTTCAGTGTGAACGGTCAAAGTGCATTCATCCACCTACACGTTATCAACAAGACACAAACGTCACTATTCTGCACTGAAGTAGGAGAAAACTGTTAATGAACTCCATGTGACTGAAGTGAAGCACATCACCACTCACCACAAAACACCACGACCAAAAACCTCGTCCTTCTCCTTCTCATTCTTCTCCTTAAAACAAGTAAGTTGTTCATGTTCTGGCTCCGGTACGAGAGGAACTTTAAAATCTCCAGGTGCTCGATGCTGCGTCCATGTTTGGACAACTTCTGTAAACACAGAGACGCTCGCTGCAGTTGACGTCGTCGTGTCTCCAGTGTCACATGTGGGACACGTTCAGGCTGTTTAACGTTCACACAGGGGATCACATACAAGTCGCATATAATTGGAAATGTGAACGACCTCGCAAAAACATCGGATTTCACAAAAAAGTCGGAATTGAGCGTTAAGCCCTGCAGTCTGAACGTAGTCTAAGTGTTACTGGATCCATGTACATGATTATTCAGCACAGAGTGAGCACATTTACCACTAAAGTCTGACAGTTGTAGTTTTTTCTTTGTTTACAGGTAAGAATGTGATGCAAAAATGCCATGAGGCTGAACTACTGTCTGTAAATACGACATAAAGAGGCAGAATAACAATAAATGTCGCATAAAATAAACGCAATTTAAAATCCAGTAGAGCCAAAGTTTTATGATCAGTTGAAGATTCACAGGAAATTTTTACACATCGGCTTTTATTTCAGCGGCTCTAAAGTCCTTTTATCTGTGTTGTATCTGACCTAAAAAAAATCCATATCAGTCTGACCCTAGATCAGGTATTAGGTCCAAGATATCGGTTCAGTCGATGTCCCGTTTTCGATAAACTGGTGTAATAAGTCGACGTTTGTCCAAAACAGCGGCTCGTGTTTTTCAGACGTTCATGCTGCTTTAAATTCTAAACAATCGTGACAAAAGTGTGAACAGTGTTTGACTTTCCGCCGTTTGTGTTTAAAGGAAATAACTCGTGTATTTTCAGTCCCTGCTGTCGTATCGGCCGATATCGGGACACACTCAAAGCCAAAATATTGACGTCGGTATCGGACACAAACAGCCGCAAACTTCAGTGAGCTTCATTTGACTGGACCAACCGCTGTGTCTCAGAGTGTCCCCGTTTGTCTCAGTGTCCCCGTTTGTCTCAGAGTGTCCCCGTTTGTCTCAGAGTGTCCCCGTTTGTCTCAGTGTCCCCGTTTGTCTCAGTGTCCCCGTTTGTCTCAGAGTGTCCCCGTTTGTCTCAGAGTGTCCCCGTTTGTCTCAGAGTGTCCCCGTTTGTCTCAGAGTGTCCCCGTTTGTCTCAGAGTGTCCCCGTTTGTCTCAGAGTGTCCCCGTGAGTCCCCGTGAGTCAGATTGTGTCAGATTGTGTCAGATGCCCTCCCGTCCCGTCGTCCGCATTCTAGTTTTTGCGGATTTAGTCTCCAGGACGACGACTCTGCCACTGTCCAAACTCAAACATCTCAGACTAATCCTGTTTAAATGAACCAGGTCTGAACCAGGACTAGGACTAAACCAGGTCTAAACCAGGTCTAAACCAGGACTGATTTAAACCAGGACTGAACCAGGTCTGAACCAGGACTAAAACAGGACTAAACCAGGACTAAACCAGGTCTAAACCAGGACTAAACCAGGTCTAAACAAGGTCTAAACCAGGACTGAGCCAGGACTGAACCAGGTCTGAACAAGAACTAAACCAGGTCTAAAAAAGGTCTAAACCAGGTCTGAACCAGGACTAAACCAGGACTAAACCAGAACTAAACCAGGTCTAAACAAGAACTAAGACAGGTCTGAACCAGGACTAAACCAGGACTGAAACCAGGACTAAACCAGGTCTGAACAAGAACTAAATCAGGTCTAAAACAAGGTCTAAACCAGGACTGAACCAGGTCTGAACCAGGACAAAACCAGAACTAAACCAGAACTAAACCAGGTCTAAACCAGGTCTGAACAAGAACTAAACCAGGTCTAAAAAAGGTCTAAACCAGGACAAAACCAGAACTAAACCAGAACTAAACCAGGTCTGGACCAGGTCTGGACCAGGCTGTGACCTGGTTTGTGGGTTTTATCTCTGATCTCTGGGTTTTTCTCATGAAACTGAATCTGTGAGGAGAAAATGATCCTGAGGCGGAAAAAAAAACAAAAAAAAAACACTTGAAACTTTTTATCTCAGCTCAAAAACGTTAAACCCTTTGTCTTTTTAAATGAACTTGAACTCTGAACTAGAAACCAGTCAGAGCCAAAAAGTCCTGGTTCAGTCCTGGTATAGTCCTGGCTCAGTCCTCGTCCCTGCTTAGTCCAGGTCTGGTCCAGGTCTGGATCTCACTCTGGGTCTAAGTGGTCTCTGGTTCGTTCTCAGGTCCGTGTGAACGAGAGTCAAAGCCTCTGCTCCCCAAGACCAAAATCAAACATGTACTAAGGTTTACACATTGTTTAGACCAGGTTCAGTCCTGGTTCAGTCCTGGTTCAGTCCTGGTTCAGTCCTTAAACTAAGTGACATTTTTTATTCTCGAGGAGGGAGGGCATCTGGTCAAATGTCAAACCTCAATCTGAGCGCACAGGCATTCCTCCCATTCTACGAAACAAGAAACCAGGATTAAACCGGGTCAAAACCAGGACAAATCCAGGACTAAACCAGGACAAATCCAGGACTAAACCAGGACAAATCCAGGACTAAACCAGGACAAATCCAGGACTAAACCAGGATAAACCAGGACAAATCCAGGACTAAACCAGGACAAATCCAGGACTAAACCAGGACATTTTACTTTTCTTAAATGTTTCTGGCTTCTGTTTTTCTTCTTTCCTTGTCATGACATTACAACTTCCCCTACAGGTCTAGACCTGGTTTAGTCCTCATTTAGACTTGGATTAGACCCTGATTTAGTCCCTGTTTTAGACCGGGTTTAGTCCTGGTTTAGACCTGGCTCAGACCTGGTTTAGTCCTGGTTTAGACCTGGTTTAGACCTGGTTTAGACCTGGTTTAGTCCTGGTTTAGACCTGGTTTGGTTTTGGTTTAGTCCTGGTTTTAGTCCTGGTTTAGTCCTGGTTTTAGTCCTGGTTTTAGTCCTGGTTTAGTTCTGGTTTTAGACCTGGGTCTAGTCCTGGTCTAGTCCCTGGTCTGTTAGTCTGGTTCTAGTCCTGGTCCTAGTCCTGGTTTAGTCCTAGTCCTGGTTTAGTCCTGGTCTAGTCCTGGTCTAGTCCTGGTCTAGTCCTGGTTTAGTCCTGGTCCTAGTTTAGTCCTGGTTTAGTCCTGGTTTAGTCCTGGTTTAGTCCTGGTTTAGTCCTGGTCCTGGTGGTCTAGTCCTGGTTTACTGGTCCTGGGTTAGTCCTGGTCTAGTCCTGGGTGGTCCTAGTCCTGGTTTAGTCCTGGAGTCCTGGTCTAGTCCTGGTCTAGTCCTGGTTTAGTCCTGGTTTAGTCCTGGTCTAGTCGGTTTAGTCCTGGTTTAGTCCTGGTTTAGTCCTGGTTTACCTGGTTTAGTCCTGGTCTAGTCCTGGTTTAGTCTGGTTAGTCCTGGTCTAGTCCTGGTTTAGTCCTGGTCTAGTCCTGGTTTAGTCCTGGTTTAGTCCTGGTTTAGTCCTGGTTTAGTCCTGGTTTAGTCCTGGTTTAGTCCTGGTTTAGTTCTGGTCTAGTCCTGGTTTCGAGTTTCGTTTTAACTTTTCATTATTTCTTCTCTGGTTTCTTCTCGCTGTTGCTCGACTGTATTTTTAGACTTTAGTTTATTTTTAGTTTATTTTTATTTCTCTTTAACAAGGCTTCAGTTAAAACTCCCCGTCGTGACGTCATGACGGGTTTCTTTTTGGGCCGTTTTCTGCTGCTGTCTTCACGTTCCTCGCGCACGCCTCTTATCTCCGGATCTCCCACGCCTGTCCCCTCCTCTGTTCTTCTTCAAAACTACTTTTCTCACACACAAACCGCTCCAAAAGTTCTGAAACAAAATCCAGATCCGAGTCTAGACCCGAGTCCGGACCCAGAACCCGGAACCGCGCCTGTTTGGACCCAGAAAAACCCACTTGAACCCACTTGTACCCGCAAAAACCGCAGTCTTTGTTACCGTTACAGCGCCGCTACTCCTGCCGCATTCTCCCTCCGCTCCGCTCCTCGGCTCGGTTCTGGTCCGGATCCGGGTCTGGTCCCGTGAGACCCGGGTCAGGGGTTAGTCCAGGGTCCGGTCTCGGGTCCGGTGTCGGGTTTAGTCCGGTCGGGTTTGGGGTTCGGGGACAGATGCGTGCGTAAAGACGTGAGGAGAGCGGAGAAGCGCACAAGACGCGCAGGAAGGAAGGGGCGTGGTCAGCGGGGAAGGGGGGGCGTGAGGCACGCCCACATTCCCACACTTGGCCCCGCCCCCTCGAGTGTGACCTGTCAATCACGTAGAAAGTCTGTAAGTAAAAGGAAACAACCAGGTCTAAACCAGGACTAAACCAGGACTAAACCAGGACTAAACCAGGTCTAAACCAGGTCTAAACCAGAACTAAACCAGGTCTAAACCAGGACTAAACCAGGTCTAAACCAGGTCTAAACCAGGACTAAACCAGGTCTAAACCAGGTCTAAACCAGGTCTAAACCAGGACTAAACCAGGTCTAAACCAGGACTAAACCAGGACTAAACCAGGTCTAAACCAGGACTAAACCAGGACTAAACCAGGACTAAACCAGGTCTAAACCAGGACTAAACCAGGTCTAAACCAGGACTAAACCAGGTCTAAACCAGGACTAAACCAGGTCTAAACCAGGTCTAAACCAGGACTAAACCAGGTCTAACCAGGTCTAAACCAGGTCTGAACCAGATCCGAGTCCCATATAGGTCCAGATCCCCTCATGTGGGGGAAATTTCAGTGCTGCATTAATAAAGTACAAGAATAGCACTTGTTTTTGGTTTAGTCCTGGTTTGATGCTGACTTAGTTCTAATTCAGACCTGGTTTAGTCCTGGTTTAATCCTGGTTTAGTCCCAGTTTAGTCCTGGTTTAGACCTGGTTTAGTCCTGGTTCAGACCTGGTTTAGACCTGGTTTAGTCCTGGTTTAGTCCTGGTTTAGTTCTGGTTCAGACTTGGTTCAGACCTGGTTTAGACCTGGTTTAGTCCTGGTTTAGTTCTGGTTTAGTTCTGGTTCAGACTTGGTTTAGACCTGGTTTAGTCCTGGTTTAGTCCTGGTTTAGTTCTGGTTCAGACTTGGTTCAGACCTGGTTTAGACCTGGTTTAGTCCTGGTTTAGTCCTGGTTTAATCCTGGTTTAGTTCTGGTTCAGACTTGGTTTAGACCTGGTTTAGACCTGGTTTAGTCCTGGTTTAGTTCTGGTTCAGACTTGGTTTAGACCTGGTTTAGACCTGGTTTAGTCCTGGTTTAGTTCTGGTTCAGACTTGGTTTAGACCTGGTTTAGACCTGGTTTAGTCCTGGTTTAGTTCTGGTTCAGACCTGGTTTAGACCTGGTTTAGACCTGGTTTAGTTCTGGTTTAGTCCTGGTTTAGTTCTGGTTCAGACTTGGTTTAGACCTGGTTTAGTTCTGGTTTAGTCCTTGTTTAGACCTGGTTTAGTTCTGGTTTAGTCCTTGTTTGAATCCGGTCTTTGAAGAAAACTTGACGTAAACAGTTCCCATGAAAACTTTGCCTCCAGCAAAACCACAGGTCTGGACTTGTGCCGTCCCTTCAGTTAGTCCTGGTTTAGTCCTGGTTTAGTCCAGATCTAGACTTGTTTTAGACCTGTTCTAGTCCCGGTTTGGTTCCGGGTTTATATGGATTTAGATTTATGAGACTCTGAGATTTAAGTCGTGTGTTTTGTTTCAGTCACATGTTTGAGTAAATCTTTATTATGAGTCTGTTTACATCTGCAAAACTCAGAATGTTTAGTCCTGTTTTAGTCCTGGTTTAGTCCTGGTGTAGTCCTGGTGTAGTCCTGGTTTAGTCCTGGTGTAGTCCTGGTTTAGTCCTGGTTTAGTCCTGGTCCTGGTTAGTCCTGGTGTAGTCCTGGTTAGTCCTGGTGTAGTCCTGGTGTAGTCCTGGTGTAGTCCTGGTTTAGTCCTGGTGTAGTCCTGGTGTAGTCCTGGTTCAGTCCTGGTGTAGTCCTGGTGTAGTCCTGGTTTAGTCCTGGTGTAGTCCTGGTTCAGTCCTGGTTCAGTCCTGGTCCAGACTCAGAGGGAGGAGACTTTTCCCTGCAGCTGTTTTCTCTCAAATTTACGATGATTTAATGAAATGATGAAATGTGTTTGTGAAACTCCAGGAGGAGCAGCAGCTCTACGCCCTGGTCTGGAACTGGTCCTGGTTCAGTCCTGGTTCAGTCCTGATTCAGTCCTGGTTTAGTCCTGGTTTAGACCTGGTTTAGTCCTGGTTTAGACCTGGTTTAGACCTAAATCCAGAGGGAGCAGCGTCGTTCTGTTTAAACCAAAGAAATGTGAAGATTTACAAAGTTTATGATGAAACGATCCTCAAACAAAAACAACACACACACAGTACTTTTACTGTAGTACATGTACACACAGTACTTTTACTGTAGTACATGTACACACAGTACTTTTACTGTAGTACATGTACACACAGTACTTTTACTGCAGTACATGTACACACAGTACTATTACTGTAGTACATGTACACACAGTACTTTTACTGTAGTACATGTACACACAGTACTTTTACTGTAGTACATGTACACACAGTACTTTTACTGTAGTACATGTACACACAGTACTTTTACTGTAGTACATGTACACACAGTACTTTTACTGTAGTACATGTACACACAGTACTTTTACTGTAGTACATGTACAGAGTAACAGTACTTTTACTGTAGTACATGTACAGAGTAACAGTACTTTTACTGTAGTACATGTACTGCTCCGCTCGTCTCACGTACTTTTATTATTATTTTATTTTCTGAACAAGTTTTAAAACTTTATTTAAATTTTATTTGACAGAAACAAAACTCAACAGTCACAAAGTTTTTATTTATACAAAACTTTTCACACAAATACAAATCACAAACACTCTGCACACGTCACTCTTCTACTGTGGCCACAGCTGCCCTGGGACAGACTGACAGAAGTGAGGCTGAACCATCACACACTGCACTTTCACACTGGGCAGTGTGGCTGAAGTGTCTTGCCTAAAGACACAACAACAGTTTTTTCTCTGGTGCCTCCTGTGGCTCCTGGTGTTTCCAGTGTCTCCATCCGAGTCCAGACCCAAACCCAAACCCAGACCCAAACCCAAACCCAGCCCAAACCCAAACCCAGACCCAAACCCAGACCCAAACCCAAACCCAGACCCAGACCCAAACCCAGACCCAAACCCAGACCCAAACCCAGACCCAAACCCAGACCCAAACCCAGACCCAAACCCAAACCCAGACCCAAACCCACCCAACCCAGACCCAACCCAACCCAGAAACCCAGACCCAACCCAGACCCAAACCCAGACCCAGACCAAACCCAGACCCAGACCCAACCCAGACCCAGACCCAAACCCAGACCCAAACCCAGACCCAAACCCAAACCCAGACCCAAACCCAAACCCAAACCCAGACCCAAACCCAAACCCAGACCCAAACCCAGACCAAACCCAAACCCAGACCCAAACCCAAACCCAGACCCAAACCCAGACCCAAACCCAGACCCAGACTTTGAGCCTCTGAGACACAAGTCCAGCAACAAAACTCCCCAAAGCCTCTAGAACCAGAACCAGACCAGAACCTGAACCCGGACTAGACCCCGGACTGAGCCCAGACCGTGTTTCAGCCTCGTGTTTCAGCCTCATGAGCTGGAGGATTCTGGGTAATCTCCAGCAGCTGTTTTCCGTCACAGGAAGTGCTCTCGTGTTTCAGAGCATGTGACTTCCTGTGGGCACAGTGGGCCTCACACTCGCCGCGCAACCACAGGCTCCTGGGTTCAGACCTGGTTTAGACCTAGTTTAGTTCTGGTTTAGTCCTGGTTTAGTCCTGGTTTAGACCTGGTTTAGACCTGGTCTAGTCCTGGTCTAGTCCTGGTTCAGTCCTGGTCTAGTCCTGGTCTAGTCCTGGTCTAGTCCTGGTTCAGTCCTGGTTCAGTCCTGGTTTAGTCCTGGTCTAGTCCTGGTTTAGTCCTGGTTCAGTCCTGGTCTAGTCCTGGTTTAGTCCTGGTTCAGTCCTGGTTCAGTCCTGGTTAGTCTAGTCCTGGTCTAGTCCTGGTTTAGTCCTAGTCCTGGTCCTGGTCTAGTCCTAGTCCTGGTCTAGTCCTGGTCTAGTCCTGGTCTAGTCCTGGTTTAGTCCTGGTCTAGTCTAGTCCTGGTTCAGTCCTGGTTCAGTCCTGGTCTAGTCCTGGTTTAGTCCTGGGTCTAGTCCTGGTTTAGTCCTGGTCAGTCCTTCAGTCCTGGTCTAGTCCTGGTCTAGTCCTGTTTAGTCCTGGTTGGTTAGTCCTAGTCTAGTCCTGGTTAGTCCTGGTCCTGGTAGTCCTGGTCTAGTCCTGGTCTAGTCCTGGTCCTTAGTCCTGGTCTAGTCCTGGTCTAGTCCTGGTCTAGTCCTGGTGGTTAGTCCTGTAGTCTAGTCCTGGTCTAGTCCTGGTCTAGTCCTGGTCTAGTCCTAGTCTAGTCTGGTTTAGTCCTCTGGTTTAGTCCTGGTTTAGTCCTGGTCTAGTCCTGGTTTAGTCCTGGGTTTAGTCCTGGTCTAGTCCTGGTCTAGTCCTGGTCCTGTAGTCCTGGTCTAGTCCTGGTTTAGTCCTGGTCTAGTCCTGGTCTAAGTCCTGGGTCTTAGTCCTGGTTAGTCCTGGTCTAGTCCTGGTCTAGTCCTGGTTTAGTCCTGGTTTAGTCCTGGTTTAGTCCTGGTCTAGTCCTGGTCTAGTCCTGGTTCGGGGGCGTCGGGGTCAGGACGGGTCGGGTCTGTGGGACGGTGGTATTTCAGAGGACACAGAGTCTCCAAACACGAGACGAGGACAAAACTCTCTCTTATCTTTGTGTCCTTGAGCAAGACACGTTTGTCCCGAGGAGCAGGGAGGGCATCCGGCTTAAAAACTCAAACACAAACAAACACACAGAGACGAGAGTTTGAGATGTGACTCTTTATTTTCGGTCTCGGTTCAGGTTTTTCTCTGGTTCCGTTTAAAATCCTCACGTTCTTTTTTCCGTCTAAACTTTCAACTTTACAAAATCCGTCTTTTCAAAATAAAAGCCTCGAACTTTCACAATAAACTCACTTTTTCATCCAAAACGTTTGTTTTTCACACAAATTTCCTTCAAAAAAAAAAAAAAAAAAATCACTTTCTTCAAAACCTTCAACTTTACAAATCCAAACCAGGACTAAACCAGGACTAAACCAGGACTAAACCAGGACTAAACCAGGACTGAACCAGGACTAAACCAGGACTAAACCAGGACTGAACCAGGACTAAACCAGAACTAAACCAGGACTGAACCAGGACTAAACCGAGACTGAACCAGGACTAAACCAGAACTAAACCAGGACTGAACCAGGACTAAACCAGGTCTAAACCGGGACTAAACCAGGTCTAAACCAAGACTGAACAAGGACTAAACCAGGACCGAACCAGGACTAAACCAGGTCTAAACCAAGACTGAACAAAGACTAAACCAGGACTGAACCAGGACTGAACCAGGACTGAACCAGGACTGAACCAGGTCTAAACCAGGTCTAAACCAGGACTAAACCAGGTCTAAACCAAGACTGAACAAAGACTAAACCAGGACTGAACCAGGAATGAACCAGGACTGAACCAGGTCTAAACCAGGTCTAAACAAGGACTAAACCGAGACTGAACCAGGTCTAAATCAGGTCTGAACCAGGACTAAACCAGGACTAAACAAGGACTAAACCAGGTCTGAACCGGGACTAAACCAGGACTAAACCAGGACTGAACCAGGACTGAACCAGGTCTAAACCAGGTCTAAACCAGGTCTAAACCAGGACTACAGCAGGTCTCTGGTTCCTGAGATTCCAGTGTCATAGTCAAGTCTCTTATCAGTCCCCAAGACGAGTACAGACTGGTCCAGATCATAAAACATGTGTTCTACATACCACAGGGACTAAACCAGGTCTAAACCAGGTCTGAAACAGGTCTAAACCAGGACTAAACCAGGTCTAAACCAGGTCTGAAACAGGTCTAAACCAGGACTAAACCAGGACTAAACTGGGATCACTTCCTTTGTTCATAAAAACTACAGTTTCTTTTTCTCTTTTATTAAACTCCAAATAAACTAAGAATAATTTACTGCAAAAGTCAGTTACATAAAAATACACAAATATAAAAGTTTTTCTTCAGTTCTTCGTCTGAACTTACAAAAGTGTGAGGCTCAAGGGCCACAGGGCTCAGTACAAACGGGGGGGGGGGGGGGGGGGGGTCACTTCTCCAGGAGCTGCTTCCTCTGCTGCTCCCACAGCGCCTCCAGGTGGTCGGCTCGCTTCAGTGCAGCCTGAACACAACACAGAGGGTCAGAGGGTCAGAGGGGTCAGAGAGGGTCAGAGGGTCAGAGTGTGGACTGTAGAGGGTCAGAGGGGGTCAGAGGGTCAGAGAGGGTCAGAGGGGTCAGAGGGTCAGAGTGTGGACTGTAGAGGGTCAGAGGGGGTCAGAGGGTCAGAGTGTGGACTGTAGAGGGTCAGAGAGGGTCAGAGGGTCAGAGTGTGGACTGTAGAGGGTCAGAGAGGGTCAGAGTGTGGACTGTAGAGGGTCAGGGTCAGAGGGTCAGAGTGTGAACTGTAGAGGGTCAGAGAGGGTCAGAGGGTCAGAGTGTGGACTGTAGAGGGGTCAGAGGGTCAGAGTGTGGACTGTAGAGGGGTCAGAGGGTCAGAGTGTGGACTGTAGAGGGTCAGAGGGTCAGAGTGTGGACTGTAGAGGTCAGAGGGTCAGAGGGGTCAGAGTGTCTGAGAGGGTCAGAGAGGGTCAGAGGGTCAGAGGTGTGGACTGTAGAGGGTCGACTGAGAGGGTCAGAGGGTCAGAGGGTCAGAGGGTCAGAGTGTGACTGTAGAGGGTCAGAGGGGGTCAGAGTGTGGACTGTAGAGGGGTCAGAGAGGGGGTCAGAGGGTCAGAGTGTGGACTGTAGAGGGTCAGAGTGTGGACTGTAGAGGGTCAGAGGGTCAGAGGGTCAGAGTGTGGACTGTAGAGGGTCAGAGTGTGGACTGTAGAGGGTGTCAGAGGGGGTCAGAGGGTCAGAGTGTGGACTGTAGAGGGGTCAGAGGGGTCAGAGGGTCAGAGTGTGGACTGTAGAGGGGTCAGAGGGTCAGAGTGTGGACTGTAGAGGGGTCAGAGGGGTCAGAGGGTCAGAGTGTGGACTGTAGAGGGGTCAGAGGGTCAGAGGGGGTCAGAGGGGTCAGAAGGTGCACTGACCTCGTGTTGTTTGCGCAGACTATTCACAGTTTCCTCTTTCTTCAAAATGGCCGCCTTCACTCTGAAAAACACAGACACTTGTGTTTAAATATTTTCACTGTTTTTAAACTTCTGCTTCAGTAAAAATCTCCTCACGACTCACAAAACGGGACTAAAAAGGATTGAAAAGGTCTGACCCAGGACTGAACCAGGTCTAGCCCAGGTCTGAGCCTCGGGGAGATGAGTGTGATGAGTCTGTGCTGTTTGTTTACTGTTTCCTGTTGCCGTGGCGACGCTCTGAGCTTATTTGCCCACAGATCGATGGCGTGACGGCGTTATGTCACTGGAGTCGTTAAACACACTGGCCGAGATTTCAAGGTTTCACTGACACTTTGCATCATGGGGGGTGTTTTACATGTCTCTCTATGGTGGAATGTTCAGCAGTTACCGTGGAGACGCAGCTCACCTGATGGGAGTTTCAACTAAACCAAATAAAGATCAGATTTAAGTCAGACAGAGCTTCAGACAGAGCAGTGCCTCCAGGTAGCATCACAGTAGAAGTAGTAGTAGTAGTAGTAGTAGTGGTAGTGGTAGTAGTAGTAGTAGTAGTAGTAGTAGTAGCAGTGGTAGTGGTAGTGGTAGTGGTAGTAGTAGTAGTAGTAGTAGTAGTAGTAGTAGTAGTAGTAGTAGTAGTAGTAGTAGTAGTAGTAGTAGTAGTAGTAGTAGTAGTAGTAGTAGTACCTCTCGTGTACTTGGCTGAGCTCGTCCTCCTTCTCTCTCGTCACTCTCTCCAGCTCCAGTCGGAGTCTCGCTCTCATTTCGCTCACGCTCGTCTTCAGTTGTCGATTCTCTTCTTCTGTTTGGACCAAACGTTCGGCGAACTCCTCACGGATCACCTCGGCCAGACTGTGGCGCTCCGACGACAACTTCTCACACGTCTGGAACACGAGCAGAGACCCGGTTTAGACGGGTTTAGAAGTTTAGTCCTGGTTTTAGACCCTGGATGGTCTGGTCTAGTTTTGAACTGGTTTAGTCTTGGTTTAGACCTGTTTTAGTCCTGGTTTAATACCTGATTAGCACCTAGATGGTCTTGTCTTTGAGCCATAGTTTAGACCTGGTTTAGACCTGGTTTAGACCTGGTTTAGTCCTGGTTTAGTACCTGTTCTAGTCCTGGTTTAGTACCTGTTTTAGACTCTGGATGGTCTGGTCTTTGAGCCGTAGTTTAGTCCTGGTTTAGACCTGTTTTAGTCCTGGTTTAGACCTGTTTTAATCCTGGTTTAGTCCTGGTTTAGACCTGTTTTAATCCTGGTTTAGTCCTGGTTTAGTCCTGATTTAGTCCTGGTTTAGTCCTGGTTTAGACCTGTTTTAGTCCTGTTTTAGTCCTGGTTTAGACCTGTTTTAATCCTGTTTTAGTCCTGGTTTAGACCTGTTTTAGTCCTGGTTTAGACCTGTTTTAATCCTGTTTTAGTCCTGGTTTAGACCTGTTTTAGTCCTGTTTTAGACCTGGTTTAGATCTGGTTTAGTACCTGTTTTAGACTCTGGATGGTCTGGTCTTTGAGCCGTAGTTCTGCTGCGGCTCTCATCAGTTCTTCTTCTCTCTGCAGTAGTTTCTGTCGTGTTTCCTGGTGTTTCTCCACAGCGCCCCTCTCAGAGCGCTCCAGCTCCTGCAGCTCCGCCTCGTACTTCTCCCTCACACGCTTCACTCTGGAAAAACAACACACACGTCACAGTCTGGGTCCAGGTCTGAGTCAGAGTCTGAGTCTGGGTCTGGGTCCAGGTCTGAGTCAGGGTCTGGGTCAGAGTCTGAGTGGAACCTCCAGCTCACACTAAAACAGTCACGTTCAGCTCAGCAGCAAACACATGATTGGCTCTTTGGTTGCTATGGTACTCGAGGTCAGAATTCCAAATATGAAAAATGAGCTGATATAAGTGCAGCCTTGATGAGCTTCATTTGGAGCTGAATGCTGCGGGTGACGTCACACTTCGTCAGTCCACCTCTCCGTGCTCTAACACATCACTTTAGGGTGGAGCTCTTTCACCTTTTCTCTCTCACCTGTTCTCCAGCGCTCTCTCGCTCTCCTCCCTCTCTTTACTCGTCTGCTCCTCCAGAGTCCAGATGGCCAGTTCTATCTCTTTGTCTCTCTCTCTCTTCAGCTCCTCTTTCATCTCTCGCTCTCGGCTCCGGAGCCACGCCTCCTACAAACACAAACATAAATATAAACGTAAATATAAACACAAATATAAACGCAAACATGATAAACAAACAAGCACAAATTGACTCCGATACAACAATTGAGAGGAAATAGAGTCGGGTGACTCGCCGGAGCGGTCGGGTGACTCGCCGGAGCGGTCGGGTGACTCGCCGGAGCGGTCGGGTGACTCGTTGGAGCGGTCGGGTGACTCGCCAGAACGGTCAGGTGACTCACTGGAGCAGTCGGGTGACTCGTTGGAGCGGTCGAGCGGTCAGGTGACTCGCCGGAGCGGTCGGGTGACTCGCCGGACGGTCGAGTCGGTGAGCGGTCAGCGCGTGAGGTCGTGACTCGCCGGAGCGGTCGGGTGACTCGCCAGAACGGTCAGGTGACTCACTGGAGCAGTCGGGTGACTCGTTGGAGCGGTCGGGTGACTCGCCAGAACGGTCAGGTGACTCACTGGAGCAGTCGGGTGACTCGTTGGAGCGGTCGAGCGGTCAGGTGACTCGCCGGAGCGGTCGGGTGACTCGCCAGAGCGGTCGGGTGACTCGCCGGAGCGGTCGGGTGACTCGTTGGAGTGGTCGAGCGGTCAGGTGACTCACCGGAGCAGTCAGGTGACTCGCCGGAGCGGTCAGGTGACTCGCCGGAGCGGTCGGGTGACTCGCTAGAACGGTCCGGTGACTCGCCGGAGCGGTCGGGTGACTCGCCAGAACGGTCAGGTGACTCATTGGAGCGGTCGGGTGACTCGCCGGAGCGGTCGGGTGACTCGCCAGAACGGTCCGGTGACTCGCCGGAGCGGTCGGGTGACTCACTGGAGCGGTCAAGCGGTCGGGTGACTCGCCGGAGCGGTCGGGTGACTCGCCAGAGCGGTTGTGTGAATCGTGTGCAGTACCTGTTTGGTCCTGTAGGTGTCCTCCCATGTCTGTTTCTCCAGCTCCACTCGCTCCTGCAGAGCCTTTATCTCCATCTGAAACACATCATCATTATTATTATTATTATTATTATTATTATTATTATTATTATTATTATTATTATTTATCTCTACATAATCACAGAAGAACTTTGTATAAATAAAAGTTCAAACATTATAAGACTTTCTGGGCGACATGTAAATAGTTTTACTCTGATTACATCAAGTGTCAGATCAGTAAAAGTAACAGTGGTAAGTCCTAGTGTCTGTGATGCACCTCTCCTGCTCCTCTCCAGTAGCAGTAGTAG